ATAAATGATAGATGAAATAAATCTATCATAATATTTCATCTATTTATCATCTATTTCATCTATCATTTATTTCATAAATACAGTGAAATATTACAACAGTAATGTTTTATTTTAATTTTATGGATTTCTTTCTTTTTTTGTCATTTTTATATTTAGTAATATTTTATTACTATTTAATTTTATTACTATTAATTAATATGTATTTTTATTATTATATCCATACTGATATATAGTCACGAAATGTTGGCCAAATTGTCAAGTCCAATGACAAACAAACAAACAAACAAAGGAAAAAATAACCCAAACATTTCTGTCAAATTAAAAGCCAAAAATATTAGTACTGTAATGTAAAATAAAATTTTTCTTATATTATTGTGTTTTATATATTATATTTTTGTCTTTAATAGTTTATTTATTTTTATTTTTGTACTTTTTTATTTAGTAATAATAATAAAAATAATAATAATAATAATAATTATTATTATTATTATTATACATATAAAATATATTATAAAATTATATTTTACAATTAATAAAATAAAACGTATACATAAAGGTTATTATTATTGCCATATTGACATGTATTCATAAAACTTTGGCCAAATTCTGCAGCCCAAAAGACCACTAACACAATATCAGAACAGATACAGACTAGACAGCAGATGAAGGTCTTCATGCAGGTTTATCACTTGCAGCCACACAGCTCTGTTCGTGGGACGTTTTTCTGAGGTGAATGAAGTTCACTGAAGCTCCAGCCAATCACTGAACTCCTGGGAACATTTTGTACGCAGAGAGGCCAGTATTACCCATGATGCTCCATCGATCAGCCGCGTGCGGCACGGAGCGGCAGAAGCTCTCAGGCTGTGTGTCGGAGAACAGACTAAACATCCCAAAGCAGGCCGCTGCTATCTGCCTTCACTCTGTAAACGTCTGCACTGTGAAGAGATTTTCACGAGACACCAGCGAAAGATTAAAGCACAAGAGAGAATCCTCTGAGACTCACGCTCTCTGTCTGGAGCATCAGAGTTTACGAGCACATCAGAGAAACTGTTTGTACTCTTTCATCTACAACTTCACTGATAAAACACTGGCGAGAGAACACGTCTATATGTTCCATTCAGGTAGAAGAAGCATTTAGAAACATGTTGCCAGGTCACATTTAAAAAAAAGTTAAAAATACTATTTTATTTATATAAAGTATACACACTTTACACTGTACACATTTACTATTTTATATTGAAAATGGTTTTATATTATTATTAGTAGTATTATTATGATATTATATTATAAATTATAATATTTATTTTATGTTAATAAATAAAAAATAAATAAATAAATAAATATACTTTTTACTTGATATAATTGCATAATATTTGGGACCACTGAGATATTTCACACTGTGACATTTCCATGACAAACATGGAAAAAGTTAAATATAATAATAATCATTTAAAATCATTCTTATTTTCTTCATAGAGAATTTTGTATGAAAACATGATTAAGTGTCAAAAACTGAAAAGGACCATTTCTTTGTGCAGTTTCCTTCTTTTATCTTTTAATATTGGGTGAAACGTGATCTGGAACAGGCTCTTGATAAAAAGGAAAAACCGTTTCAGAATCCTTCGGTAAACACAGATATCCCATGATCCTCCGGGCTTTCATTTACAGTACAAGCAGAGGAAATCAGAGCACTTCTCTCTGGAATATTCTGGAGTATTACTACCCTGGATAACAAAATCAATGTTAAACTCAAATAATTACAGGTTTAAAATGTATTTTGAACTATAACTACAAACAGCACATCTATTATTGTAATGCATAATGAATATTTAAATGTCTAGTCTGCTGAGGCTGTATTGTGAGCGTGATTTATATTCGTGACATTTAGAAGCGGCAGATCCGTGTTAATGTCATCTTCATCAGTGACTCGTGTAAATGAAGCTGCAGGATGGAGAATCAAACCGTGTCCGTCGACTAGTTAAACCTGCATGAAGCCAATGACCGGCTGTCATCTGTGCTTCCCTGATGACCCAAACCGACTGCTATCAAGACTAAACACTGACTGTTGATTCAGACACAGAAGAGCGGCGCTGTGAAATCAAGCCTGCGGTCGTGCTGTAATCCTGCACCGCTGTGACGTCTGGCAGTGGAAACACCGAGATCTGCTGTCTGAACACGCGTGACGATTCTGACCCAGACTGATGGACAGAACCAGACCCACAACAACAACAGCACAGATGGAAATACAGCTTCAGGACACTTCTAAATGGACACAGCATCTTAAATGTGCTGCTTATGGCGCAAGATGCTGAAAAAACTGAGACAATGGCTAGAAACATCTCTCTTATGTGTGTGTGCATTAAAATATAAATATAAAATATATATATATTTTTTTTTTTAATGAAATACATACAGGGTATGGAAGGCATTTTCTGCCAATTTTAAATAAATAAATGTAATTATAAAAATGAAAATGAAACCAGATGAACAATTTCATTATTTATTTTAATTTTTATAATTAAATTTATTTATTTAAAATGGGCAGAAATTTCCTTCCATAACAGGGTGTGCAAAAACGAAATAAAAATATCTAATTAAAATTAATCTCCATAAATTAAAATAAAAATGTAAATAAATAGGAGGAAAGTATAAATAGAAACCATGTAAAAATGAAATAATCAGTTTATTTACATACTAACTAAAATGTATTTATTTATTTTACATAAATTACAATAATTTTAAATAAAAAATGTAATAATGTACCAATAATGTACTAATAATAATAAATGGGAGGAAATTCTAAAAATAAAAATTAAATAATTTACAACATGACTAAAATAAATAAATAAAATGTATTAATTAAATACAGTGAATTACAATACATTTTAATAGGATAAATTAATTTAACCTTAAACTATTTTTAATAAAAAACAACAAAGAATCAAATAATCAGTTTATTTAAAGACCAACTAAAATACAATAAATTACAATTAAGATTAATTACAAAAAAGATAAACGAAATACAATAAATGTAAAAATAATTAAATATAATAAATAAATTAATTAATTAATAGTTTTTTTGATAAAGGGGGAGGTAATAATAAAAATAGAGAATATAAAAATATAAAATATAATAATAAATAATAATAGAAAATAATGTGTTTATTTAAAATGTATATTTTAATGTACAAAAGATCAACAAAAATGTAAGTGCACCAAGCACAAACTAATTTTTTACATAAACTGTCCAGATGGTGGAAAGGGTTAATCAGCCAAATGAAGAAAGGGTTCCAGATTTTCGAGGATGCTGTGATGATCAATGCAAGAAAATCTAATATAAGCACAGTATTGTAGTGTAACAGAGTGAACGCTGTATGAGTGCAACTGGCAGATGTGAGCGTGTAAAGACTCTCTGCTCATCTCTGTCTGTCTGCATTCATACAGCAGAATGAATGACAGCATTTATCAGCCAAACAAAAGAGAAACCACAGCATTTGTTTTGTTCACTGTACGCAGTGACTGACGGACGCACGACTGCACGAACTCACATTAACATTTAAACAGTCATCTCCTCTGTGAAGGACATGTGTGACTGGAGTAATTATGCCTCCTAACTTCACCCATGATGCCTTAAAATACCGCTGATGTGGGCGACTCACTAGGGCTGTTAGCGCTGAGATTAACGCTGTTCTGCACGACGACAGAGGAACTGTCAGCATGGAGAACATTCAGGGAAAATGTGGTGACATCAATCAATCAATAAATCAATCAATCAATAAATCAATAAATCTCCACACACAAGACTAGAGGTGTGCAAAACTATGGGACTAAGTCACTCACAACACCCTAGAAACTGCATAGCGACAGACTAAACACTCAGAACACCCTAGCAACTGCATAGCAACAGCCCAAAACACTTAGAACACCCTAGCAACTGCATAGTAACAGCCTAAACACACTCTGAACACCCTAGCAACTGCATAGCAACAGATTGGCAGCATAGTGGCACCTGCTGGACGATGATATGATGTGATAAGTTCTCACTACATAACAGACAGACGATTCTCCTCCTCATAAAGCGCACTCACAGGAGAGACAGATGTGTTTTACTCACCGTCACTGCGATCATGGAGTCATCAGGCTTCCATTCCACCAGCTGATAGAAGCCGAACTGTGCAGCCGCTTTCCCAGACTCGATATAACTGACGATCAACACGCTGGGCTACAGACAGACAGAGAAAGTTTGAATTAGACATTAATTTGAGTCAGTGTGGTTTAGTTATGTACCGAGCCAGTCATCAGTAGTACTAGTGCTGATAGTGATGTGCTGAAACATCTAAGAGTTAAAGGGTTAGTTCAGCAAAAAGTGAAAATTCTGTCATTAATTACTCGCCCTCATGTCGTTCCAAACCCCGTAAGGCATTCGTTCATCTTCGGAACACAAATTAAGATTTTTTTTGATGCATTCCGAGAGCTTTGATACTCTCCAAAATGGCGCGATAGGGTGACACGGAGGAGACTAATTGTTGAATAAAGTCGTTATTTTTATTTTCTTTGCGCACAAAAAGTATTCTCATAGTTTTATAACATCAGATTTGAAAAAAATCGCACCCTAGCAACTGCATAGCAAATGGTTAAAAACACAAAAATCAGAACACCCTAGCAAATTTATGCAGCTGCTATGCATTCAGAATAGGGATGCACGATATTATCGGACCAATATCAGAATCGGCCGATAATGGCTTTAAATGTAAATATCGGCATCGGCCGGATATGAAAAATTATGCCTGTATGTCTTGCCGATAAGAGGAATACATTAACTCACATGTGCTCAGGGTGTGCTAGCGATTAGATCACGTCAGCATTGTGGTTCATTCTTGAAGCAAAGTTGTGCCTGAATGGTGATTGGATTCACTGCTTTGGATCGTTGCATTTAAACTGAGAATGCACGTACGCGTTCGATGTATGACAGAGTAATAAACAGTAATAGCACGTGCAGCGGCAGCAGCGACATCCTCCCCCGGGTCCTAATGCCCGTTTGGTAAGGAGTTTTAATCTGCAGGGGGCGCTGTTGGCCTACTTCTATTAAAATGAAGGCAAAATACACAAATAATATTTAGACTGTGTTTCTGATTAAATAAAGCAGTAATTGATGCTATAAAATCATGAGTTTTGATGTTTTGATTTAAAGGTCAGAAGCTATAGCTTACATGAACAAAAAAAAAAAATCACAAGAATGACAATTAAATTAAATAATTTTATATATACACTGATTTATTCATTAATGTGTAATATGTTATAGGCCTATATTTTTAAACAAATTATGAGCTCTAAAAGATTTTCTTGCAATGCCTTAGTAACTGCATAGCAACTAGGGCTGTGCAATATATCGAAATTATCGAAATATCGCAAATGTACATATCGCAATATGCATATCGCTACAGCTTGCAATATTTGGGGCCATGAACAAAAGACAAAGAGAAAATCATTCACTGCTCATACCTAAATAACTTTTGTAGCTTAAATAAGAATCAGTGCATATTGAATTCAAAGAGTCAATTCTAAGCAGTGTTTTATTTTTCCTTTTTATTATTCAGTCCCTAAATTCATGTTAAAATGACATTTTTATGTAATGCTCGAGTAAAACACTACCGTTCACTTTCAGAAGTTGTTGTAGGGGTGCTTTCTTATTAGAATCACATTCAGAATTAGCTTTATTCACCACTTAAGTGTGCGCAAACAACAAATTTGTTGTGGTTTTACAGGAACTCTTGGTACATACATACATACATACATACATACATACAAATAACCATATATATATGACACAAAATAGAAGTTCACAGAACTGACTCAGCAACAGCTGAGTAAAACTGTTTCATCTGAGCATGTGGCACTTTAAGCATTATCGTATCGCATATCGAATTTCGCATTATTTAATGAGTTATCGCATATCGCATTTTTCTTCAATATCGCACAGCCCTAATAGCAACTGACTAAAACCCTTGCAACGCCTTAGTAACTGCATAGCAACATTTAGGCATCATGAAAAAAAAAAACATTCTCAAATGTGCTATAAACCTCTCAGAATACCTTAGCAACCACTTAGAAACACTCTCTCAACTAACATAAAAAACAAACAGCAACTACATTTTCAGTAAATATAAAAACCGAACTCATAGTTCAGTTTGAAACTGAATCTGTCTTATAAAGTACAGAAGTGAAAGTGTCGTGAACAGTACAAATGACAGAGGAACTAACTCACAGCTGCAGTAAACACACTAGATTAGTGCATGTCTAAACTAGTTTAGGAATATGCCAGTCCAGAATTAAGCTACTACTATGACTATTCAAGTTATTTTAGTTTAATGTTCACTGCATATGTATGAAAGAATCTGTCATGCTGGTGATTACATACAATAATGTTGAGAATAACCCAGAATATTCCTTTAATAAGACGATGAAATAAAACTAATGGAGAAAAATACAGTTTAAATGTCATTCAACGTGCATTTCGGTCTTTATTTTACAGATCAACAGAAAAGCACAACATTCTCCCAGTGAAATGAAGAGCAGCAGGGAAACACATCAGGAGAAACGAGAGATGGATGTGCGGATGAGAACAGCGCTTGGCCACAAAGAAAAACACCCAAAAATGGAAGCAAAGTGCTGGTTTCATTCAGCCAAAGGGGAGCTGGAAACCTCAACACACACACACACACACACACACACAATCATGTGTGTAAAATAGGGCTGGGCGATACAGCTAAAAAAATGTATCACCGATATAATGTTTCATATTGTTCGGTATCGATAATTATTGACATTTTTATAACCTTTTTTTAAAACAGAGCAATAGAAAAAAAAATTACATTTAACCAGTATTTTTAAATTAACTCAATTTATTGAGACAAACAACAAATATTTTTTGGGGTTTTAACAGTCAAATACAAAATAAAAATTAAACAAATATCTCATTTCTAATGTTTTATATGCAGATTAAATAGGTTAAACTTTTGGCTTGTTTCCCGAGGCCACAGGAGGGCGCAATGAGCAAAATAATGCAGCG